ATCCCATGTGACTCCAGCGAAATGTGTACCAGCCCTCGTACATGACCCAACAGTAGGCCGAGCTAAACGGAATCCACCAATAGCTCCGTAGTTTTAGCACCGCTAGCACGAATACAGGGATGAAGAGATAATAGCAAATCGCTAATGGCAGTGTCCAGAACACGAAGAAACGCTGATCAAAGTCGAACGTGAGCACTCTGTAAAGATCGAAGCTCTCCGGTTTCTCAACGCGGAATAGTCCACGCTTAACATCATGGGGAAGCATCCACAGCACAGTGGCCACCAACGCGAACAACGGGTAAATACGAAAGAATCGCTTGGAAAAATAGTCGGCAAGCGTGAAGGTCCACTTCCGATATGTGGCACCGTGTGCCAGAAGCTTCATACTCTTCTTCATGAACAACATCGTTAGTAAAAACGATGACAGTACGAAGAATGCGTCGACGGCGCAGGCTCCCAGGTTGAAATCCTGCATGTACTCGTGCGAATGTTGAGTCACGACCAAAAGCGCTGCGAGTCCTCGGACGCCGTCGAGAAATAGGATCCTGGATGGTGCCGCCGCAGCCTCCGATGTCTTCTCCATGTTCAGCGCTACGTCATGCTGGACGTCCATGGTATGTCTTGGAACACCTTGCACTGCTATCGCGACGCTATCTCCAACAGCGACGTTGGTACTTCCTCCTGGTCGAATCATGCTTTATTATGGCTGGTAGCGATACGATTGGCTTCAAAGCCTACGATCGCTAACCAGCTGAACATGTAATGCGCCTGGCGACTCCACGAGATTAGCATTCATCAAAACACTGCAGTGCCTGAATCTATTCAATAAGTCATACAAATGCAGTTATGTGGTGAAGCCGATGGTCACAACGCCGCTAGCTGCTCACAAAACTGGCAAGGAATATAACATCGATCGACATGTCCATTTATATAGTGGGCTGCTCACCATACGATATTTGTGTCCAGCAATTACTAGCAGTTACTATTAATACCGGTGCTCACGAAACTCATTTTCAGCAGATTATGAAGGAGGCGCACGAAAGGGTTAAGCTGCTGATGTAGTCGGTCGAGGTTCCGAGATTCCGTAGTGCCTACAAAAGCGTATACAGTTGTAGTATAATTAGTAAAGGCTAGATTTTCTATCCACAATAGCGGTAATACCTTGTATTGGAGTTTGCTTTAGGTACACGTCCTTCTCCTCGGGTTTGTCCTTGTATTCGCCGGTCATGTCTTTTGTTTTTGGGTCAGTTGTGATGCTTGATTTTTTGTGCCAGTGATGATGTTTCCTGTAACTCCGTCGACAATTTGGGCAGATATTTTGTCTGTGATGCAGGGATGGCATGGACTTTTCAATTATGTCTTATGAGATCATAAATATATATTTATATTTGGTTACCTGTATGTTATTGATAATTTATTTGACTAAAGAGTTATCTGTCACAATTTGTGATGCAAACCTCTTTATCATTTTGTACCTCTCACAGCCAACCATGACCTCACACACACTTAAAATACGCTGATACCAACAACTCTAAAAACCAGCTACACAGCACAGCTTGCCGGCTTCCGCACTTTTCAATTAGTAACAAAAACCACTTGCCTCTTCGCTAAACTACCATCGTTCTTGCCCCGCGCGCCCGCCACGTCACCTTCACACCAGCCCAGGATACCGGGTTGTGCTCCCGACCCAGCCGTAACGCTAATGACGAGGTCGTCTCTGAGAACTTCCGCTGTCGCTGCAGTACGGATCGAGAGCAGACCCGGTGAAACGGCTACTCTAACCTCATGAAGCACGTCCGTCGGGAGCACCCGGGCTACGAGGCCGTTATGATGTCTGCACCTACCGCTGAGTCTGGCTCGCTTCTAAGCTACGTCCGTCATTCATCACTCAACGTTTTTGACTGGCTCGACTGGATTGTCAAGAACCGCATCCTGCTTAACTTTTACGATAATCCTGCTGCAAGAAGGTAAGCCATTTGTTTTACTTTGTGTAATACTATCTAAATTTAGTCAAAGTAATTTTTGTGCTACTTAGATACACAAATTTTGAAACGGGCCAGGTATTTACTACGTTACTTGCTTACACTAAGGTGTTGAGGAAGCTCGCAATAGGACGACTGAGTCTTAGGTTTAAGGAAAAATCAACTCTGACTTTATTTTAGGACCAAGGCCACAGCCCTGGCCACTCAAATACACGTCATAGTCCAATTGGCTAATAATGGTTCTGGCTCTCCATATATCAGCCAATGGCATGGCAGCATTTCAACACACGCTAGTCGTGTGCTGGTGCACCTACTTATGTAAAGAAATCTACCTACTTATGTAATGGAGGGGCCCATTACAAATTTGGACCAGATTTGTGTCGAGCCACTTCAGCGGGCCATGGAAAGTCTCACTCGGATTGAGAAGCGTCACATCGCTGTCGAGATGTCTCAGCAATTTGATCTAATTCTGGATGGCTGGAGCTACGCGTCTGAACGCTTCGTTGCTGTCTTTGCCTGCTACGAGGTCGACGGCGTCATAAAGACCCCGCTCCTCTGTATGGCGCCGCTCCTAAGCGAGCCGGATGTGGACCTCTCGGCGCGCGGGCACTATGAGCTCCTAGTTAGCATGGTGCCCCGCTACTTTGGTAAGCAGCTGGTGGATTTCTTGTTGGGGACACCTGCGCCGTCAATAGACTGCTAGCAACGCTCATGGGCGTCCCGCTTATTGGGTGTACTAGCCACCGGCTAAATAGGACCGTCCAAGTGGATATGAAACATCATGAAGAGGACTTGCAGGAATTTAAGCCCTAATGGTGCGACTACGGAACTTAAAGCAGGCTGCTAAGCCAAGGCAATTGCTATTCTATGATGGTATATATTTGTTAAGTAGTGTACTAACTCCGCAGTTTATAAATTTGGTATGGCTATAAATGTACGTTGATGATGCCACTTCGTCCTGTGATTGAACAGAACACACGCTGGAGCTCAACGTTTTGAATGCTTCATCGCTATGTCCACCTCCTCGAGAACCTCGACCCGACAGATGATGCGCTCGTGGACGTCCTTCCAGCGCCGTCGTGTAACAAGCACCTGCTGTCGCTGCTCAAGGGGCTGAAAAAGGTGGAATCAGTTTCCAAAGTACTACAAGGCTCAAGCGTCACATCGCTAAGTGTTCGGGTGTGGTTCGACGGTCTCATTGCCGTAAAACCGCAGTACGCCACATATCTCGGTAAGCTCTATTTTTATTGTATAATATTGTGAGTCAACGTGCATTTCATTAGCATTTTTCTTGGTGTCATATAGGACCCCGGGCACAGTCCCGACTTCGAATCGGGAAACGTACGCGTCGTCGGTGGCAGCCACCAGCTGACAAGGGCGGCAGCGCCGTCTTCTTCGCCCTTCCGCTGCGCGAATGAAAGCGCACTCAATGCTGCTGGGGATGCAGCCGTCAGCGACGAAGGATGTTCTTTTGTAGAGCATCTACAAAAGAGACGCCGGCTGGCAGCGGTTCGACCAATGTACAATTTGCTAACGTCATTCCGCCCACGTCTAACCTGATTGGGCGTTTTTAGCGTTGCACGGACGACGTACGGTCAAGAGCGTCACAGCCAGCAGCCAATTGCGCTGGAATGGTGCATTTCCTGCGCAAAACGTGGGTATTGGAACAGTACAGACCATCGATGAGGTCACTCGCAAACAATTAACATGAAGTAATTT